GATGAGATCAGACAACGGAGGAAACTTTGTAAGGGGAGAGAAAGAGCTGAAAAAGGCTATAAATGATTGGAATCAATCCCAAATTCACGAATTTCTTTTGCAAAGAAATATCAAATGGACATTCAACCCACCTATGGGATCACACCATGGTGGAGTGTGGGAACGGTGCATAAGAACCGTTCGGAAAGTAATGTTAGCTGTGTTGAAACAGCAAACACTTGATGATGAGGGTCTGAACACCTTAATGTGTGAGGTAGAGGCTATTGTTAATGGAAGGCCGATCACAAAGGTTTCTGACGATCCACACGATATAACACCATTAACACCTAACCATTTGTTGCTTCTACGAGGAGGAAATAACTTGCCACCTGGTAAGTTTACTAAAGAAGATGTATATAGTCGCCGACGATGGAGGCAGGTTCAGTACATGTCGGATATATTTTGGAGACGTTGGACTCGAGAATACTTGCCATCACTACAACAGAGACAAAAGTGGAACAAGCCACAGAGGAACTTTGTAGTGGACGATATTGTGTTAGTTCTCGATGAGAATACACCTCGGAATTCTTGGCCGTTGGGAAGAATTCTGGAAGTTTACACCAATCGTAGCGATGGACTTGTACGCTCAGTTAAGTTGAAGACAAACACCTCAACGCTTGTGAGACCAATTGATAAACTTGTTCTTCTGGAGGATGCTACTAAATCGGCTGACAAGTAAATGGCTGTCTCTTATACACATCTAGATGTGTATAAGAGACAGCGACCAAAGTGAAGCAAGTCAATGGAGATTCGTTGACGGATCACTGAACCCAGCAGACGAGGCATCAAGAGGTATGACAGGTAGTGAACTTTTAAGTAATCGTCGATGGAAACAGGGGCCGGACTTTCTAATGAAATCCGAAAATGAATGGCCTCAGAGACCGATAGACCTGGGTCAAATACCAAACAATGACCCAGAAGTGAAGTCAAATTCCACCGTCTGTGCTAACAATGTCATTGCCCAAGACTCAATTTCAAAGGTCATAGATCATTACTCAAGTTGGAACTCATTGAGAAAAACCATTGCATGGCTTTTACGTTACAAGTCAAAGCTTAGAGAAGCAGTTCGAAGGAGCAAGAGCGGAATGCCTCTGCTGTCCGAGAAGACTGTCACTCCAATAACTGTACTGGAGATCAATGGTGCGGAATCCGCTATTGTAAAACACATACAGCAGCAATGCTTTGGAAACGATCAAGTCGAATTGAGAAAAAAGACTAGCAGTATATACAAACTGGATCCTATTTTAGTGGAAGGAATTGTACGTGTAGGAGGGCGTCTTCATAATGCACCAATTGACATTGACACGAAACATCAAATCATTTTGCCAAAAAATCACCACAGGGCTCGACTTAGTACTAGCCCGGCGTACAATGTCTAGTAAAAACCGCTCCGGGCTAGCCTATTTACTCCTCATGTTGCCCGGTTGTCTAGTGGATAATTACCAAGAAAAAAATTTTCATTAAAAAAAAAAAAAAAAAATGGAACTTTTGAGACAATCCCTGCACAGGAGGTACCGCAGGCCAGAGAGTACACTCTAGCTAGCTTTCAGCTCTCCACATGCGTGAGTGTTTAATTATCAAGATGATCCCCAAGTCATTCACCAACCAACCACCACTATGTGGATGGCATGTTATCTTTCTCTATAGAAGATCGTTTGATCGTTCAATCTGGTTAATTTAGGTAGTTAGAACATTTAATTTAATGTACTACCTTATATTCATATTATTTTCTCATAATGATATTTTTAAAATGTTCAACTTTTAATAATTAAGTACTTCAAGGCTATAGGTAGGCTAGGCTAGCCTAGGCCATAGGTCTTGTCTAGGCCTGGGTAGCCTAGCCTAGCCTAGGCCCTAGGCCTGGGTAGCCTAGCCTAGCCTAGGTAGCCTAGCCTGGCCTAAGCAAGATTTATTGCCATTGGGGGCGAGTGACTTGAGACCTAAAGATTTAACATGTGCATTGTTTTGATTGATTTCTGGGCCCTTTGTTAAATATTAGAAAGCCAAAGTTATAACCAGGGAGATGTAAAACATGCTCATCTGTCCTGTCCCTGTTATAACCAGAGTCGATTTTGCAGCATGGGTGATTTTTTTTAATTTATTTATTCAACAATATTTTGAGAGGGTAGCTCAAACAGCAATGCTACAGAAATTGAAAATCAACCTTCAAATTTAATTGTCGCTAATAAATATTGTGAAACAAAATTTTTTCCTGTCTGGGCTAGTAAAATATTCTGTGGGCTAGTAAAATCTCTAGTAAATCAGCCCAGTGGGCTAGTTACCAAAAAAAGTTAGGGCAAGCCCTGTATATATATATATATATATATATATATATAGGAGTGCGCAACATACCGGAAGCCATCAACAAACGTCTATCCAAGATATCATCTAATGAAACTGTTTTTAATGAAGCCGTACCACTGTACCAAGAGGCACTTGCAAAGAGTGGATATGAATACAAATTAAAGTTTGACCCATCAGCTAACGACAAACAGCGAAAAAGAAATAGACAGAGAAACATAATCTGGTTTAACCCACCCTACAGTAACAACGTATCAAACTAATATGACGCAAATTCCTCAAAATCATCGACACATCCTTCCCACCCGGCCACCAACTCCAGAAAATATTTAACCGTAATACTGTAAAAATTAGTTACAGTTGCATGCCTAGCATAAAACAAATATTATCTAGCCATAATAAGACACTACTTAACAACGAAACTATGGAACAAGAAGCAAAAAATTGTAGGCACAGAAAGAAACATTTGCTATGCAACAACTAACTTAAACAATAGACTAAGGACCATAATTATCTATGCACCATGGCAACATATATTCGCTGTAGTTTCTGTTAGAATTAGTGTATAATCCTACTTATATGCTCATTATGTATTTATGCCTGATGAGTGTGGATAGCTTTTAGCTACTCATACGAAATAAGTTTGTATCTAATAAATACAGATAGAATCGTTTTAAGTTTGTGCACATTGTCTTATTTTATAT